CCCCTCCTTATGAAGTCAAGCCGGGTCGAGGGCAAAGTTGACGGTCTGTAGGTGGAACCTGGACGCGGGTGCGATGTGGAGCCGAAGATACCAGCTTGCCTTGCATCTTTCGTTCGTAGCGTGCGAGAACATCCGGAGCTGTTGCTTGGAGTTCCGCACGGGTCAACCAATGGTCAGCTTTGTGGGTGCAGCACACAAAGTGTACCAAGTATTCGATCGGCCTGTTGTCGTAGCGTCCCTGGGAGATGATGTCGCCAACCTCTTGAAAACCGTCCATAGAGGATGGGTCTTGCGATCGTTGCCCGGGAAAATCGTCATGTTCCGCAGGCGTGTAAAGATCCAACTAGGAGCAATGAAAGACCGGGTAGACCGGCAAGTGGGCGGGCACCTGAATGGTGAAGGAAGGTCCTTCAGGTGCATCCCAAGCGGGCGCCACGATCGGCCAGGGCCCCATCCATTTCGGGAGGAGCTTGCGAGAGATATCTTGTTCGAGGCTGAACTCCGTGGCGGAAACCCAAACGAGATCGCCTGCACGGAATGGATAAGCAAGACGCTGGCGATTGGCCTATTGGCTCATGCGTTGCTGCGTCTTAGCCATCTGGTCGCGTGCCTTGACAAGTAGCTCTTGCATCCGATGCAAGAAAAGACGATGGTCGTCGCTCTCGGCCACTTGTGGAATGATTGTGTCCAACGGAGAAGTGACCGGCGAGCCGTGCTCGAACTCAAAGGGCGACATCCCGATAGCCGTGTGGATGGACGAGTTGTATGCCAACTCAACATCCGGCAGCCGCTCAACCCAATCCTTTTGGGCGGGACGGATGAGAGAGTGAAGGAGAACCTGTGCAATCTGATGCGCCCTCTCCGTTTGGCCATCGGTTTGGGGGTGGTGAGCAGAACTTGGCTTGAGAGATGAGCCCCATCGTTTGATGAGCGCCAACCAAAAATCGGACATGAACCGAGTGTCGCGGTCACAGACGATTTCCTTGGGGTAACCCTTGGTTCGAATCCAACCGGCGTAAAGAACCTTGGCCAACTCCGGTGCCTTGGCATGATAGCGGCAAGGCAAAAACATGGCGAACTTGGTGAGTCGGTCGACCACCGTGAGAATCCCATCCACACCGGTCTTGTGCTTGGGGAACGGCCCAGTAATGTCCATGGCAATCGCTTCCCTTCGCCGCAAGGGGACCGGTAATGGTCGCAACTCATTGTACGGACGATGGTTGCGGGATTTGCAACGTCGGCAAACCTCGCGTGACTTGCAATAGCGTGTGACGTCGCCGAGAAGGCCGGGCCACCAAAAGCGCTCGCGAAGTCGGCCAATCGTGCGATTGATTCCAAAGTGTCCGGTGGCGGGAGCATCATGGAACTCGCCAAGAAGCCGTGTACGCAAGTGAGAGTCACTCGGTACACAAAGAAGGTCCTTTCCCCGCGTGTGGACAAGCAAGTACCCCTCTTGGATCCGGTAGTGAGAAGGCGTCGGATTAGGAGAGGAGCAATTCGCTTACTTATCGTGAAACTTGGGGTCGGCTTGGTAGCCGCAGATGAAGTTGTCCCGCAGGTCATCGTCGATCTCAAAGGTCGAATAGACTGCGGTACAATGATCCGGACGTCGTAAAAAAGAGCATCCACAAAACGGTTAGACTTCCCCGGAATGTGATCGGGAAAGACATCGAATTGGTCGATGAAAGACATCCAACGGGCGATGGTGCTATTGACGGTGTCTTGGGTCTTGTAGAAGACCAACGGATTGTTGTCCATTACCCATCGGAATTGACTTCGACTAAGGAGGAAGTGCCTCCACCGCTTGAGCGCGTGGACGAAGGCTAGGAGCTCCTTCTTGCGTGCATCATCAATGGAGTGCACGACGGGCACTTTCTTGCTGAAGTACTAGACCGGGTGCCAGTCCATGCCATCATGTTGTTCGAGGACGACACCAATGCCATAGCCGGATGCATCCGTAGTGACGAGCGTTGGCAATACCGGGTCGTATATGCACAAGACCTCCGCAGATAATTGCGCGGCTTTGAGAGCCAAAAATGATTCTCGCGCATCCTCTCTGAAGTCAAACGGCCGATCCTTGCATTGAAGCTTGCTCAAGTGGGCCGCGATCTTCGAGTATCCCTTGATAAAACGTGGTAGTAGCCGACAAGGCCAATGAACGAACGAACATCTGTGACGTTCCGCGGGCCATGAATCTTGTCCGACAACGGACTGATGCCCTGCGATGTGACAAAATGGCCCAAGTATTCCAGCTCTTGCTCTTGCTGGACAAATTCGCACTTGTCGTGGCTGGCTTTGTACTTGGCACGGCGGAGCGTCTCCAACACTCGTCGAAGGTGCTCAAGATGATCCTCAAATGTCCGACTATAGACGAGAATGTCGTCTAAGTAGACTAGCACGAACCGGTCCAACATCGCACAGAACTCGTTGGTCATTGCCGCTTGAAAAGTCGTCGGGGCATTGGTGAGGCCAAAAGGCATAACGACCCACTCAAAATGCCCGTACCGCATCTTGAATGCGGATTTGTAGCGATCGTGTGGGCGTATCGAGATTTGGTGATAGCCCGACTTCAAGTCCAACTTCGAGAAGAATTTTGCGCCGCCCAAACGCTCGAGAAGGTCGTCAATCCGCGGAAGAGGTCCCGCATTCTTGACGGTTTGTGCGTTGAGCTTGCGGTAGTCGATGCACAAGCGAAGATCCTTGTTCTTCTTCCGTACGAAGAGAACTGGCGCACCGTATGGTGAGCTACTAGGGCGGATTCAGCCCTTGTCTGCCAGATCATCGAGTTGCGCGCGGAGAACCGCGAGCTCTTCCTCGCTCATGCGATAGATGCATCCTTTCGACGACACGACACCGGCCTCAAGAATAATCTCGTGGGAGATTGGTCGATCCTGCACCACACCAGTAGGAGACTCGAAGATGTCGGTGAACTCGTTGAGCAGCCGCACCACTCGGGGGTCCGAAGACAAGTCCGTAGGTGAAGATTCGGTCGTCGTGACGGCTCGTAGAAAACATAGCTCTATCTCGTCAGTCTGCTCGTAAGCGCAAGTGGCCCAAAAAGACTTGGCCGCTACGACTTGGCACCGGGTCGAGGGGGGAGAGGAATGGCACACGGCACCTCGGCGCCGAAGACGTCTCGAACGGTAAGTGTCTGCCGATGGTAGTTAACCGTGTGATCCGCACTTGCAATCCAAGGCATCCCCAAAATGATGTCGAAGTCCGTGTCCAGAACGTCAAACGTCACCGGTTCGCATGCATGAGGTGCGAAATAAACTGACACAACTTCAATGTAGCGATCGAGGAGTTGTTGCGTCCGACCATCCGCCAACTTGATCGTCGTCTGGTTTGGCTTCCTTTAAACTTGTGCGCCAAGGCCGGCCCTTTGGATAAAGGACTGGCTGATGAAATTGCCAGTCGCGCGCTATCCAGGAAAGTGCTGCAGGACGCTTGCCCAACTTGGATGCGGACATAAAGGAGCGTTGCGTTGTTATCATCGTACCGCTGCATGCGAAACTCGCGGGCCACCTTGCTAACATACGCAAGGATGTCCCCCACCGCAGCTTCGTCATCCGTCGGCGAAGGTGGTGGTGCATAGAAGGTTAATTATGTGTGGAGGTGGGCGCATAATGCTCCACATTGTTGTCCCGACAAGCAGCCTGTGGAAGGGAGAGGAAGCCATGCAAAATCCGCGGACGTCAACGGGTTCAAGACCTCTATGTTGAACTCGTGCGTCGAATCCCTTGAAGAACCACTTGAAGACGATTCATTGTCGTTGTTGCCGGACGGAGAAGAAGCCGCACACGCACCTTGTCCTTGAGCTTGAGAACCCAACGACGGAAGGAGCTGGGCAGCATAGTCCTCATAAGAATATAAGAGAGGACTGTCGACTTCCTCATGTGCCTCGGAATGAAGAGAGGTCGCTCGCGAAGCAACCGGTTCCAAAGGCATCGAGAGTGCAGCCGTATCACTCTCGGCAGTGCTCACTTTCCCGAAAGGAATTTGCCTTTGACTTGTGTGGGGCACGTTGCGGTGTCGTGCACCGCGCTGTTGCACCGCAAGCAATATCGGTACTTAGTACGGATGCGGTACACGCCTTCCGAGATATCGTAATGTGTCCAAGGCTCTTGAGCCGCTGGCCCGGCCCCGGGGGATGAATTGGTGTGTGTCTTCGGTTTGCTGCGTCCTCACCCTCTGGTGGGGCGACCACCATCCTGGGCGGCTGCCAATCTGTCTCCTTCATCAGAAGAGGCGGCCTCGTTTGAAGGGTAGGTCGCTGTAGTTGCTGCGACCACGACCACTTTCGGTCGATGCTGATCTCTGCCCAGGCTCGCAGCAGACGAACGACCCAAATTCTTGGCTTGTCCAAGGCTCTTGAGCCGCTGGCCCGGCCCCGGGGGATGAATTGGTGTGTGTCTTCAGTTTGCTGCGTCCTCGCCCTCTGGCGGGGCGGCCACCATCCTGGGCGGCTGCCAATCTGTCTCCTTCATCAGAAGAGGCGGCCTCGTTTGAAGGGTAGGTCGTTGTAGTTGTTGCGACCATGACCACTTTCAGTCGATGCTGATCTCTGCCCAGGCTCGCAGCAGACGAACGACCCAAATTCTTGGCTTCAGTGTTTGTCACGATGATCTGCGAGGCTTTATCAAAAAGCTGCTCAGTTGTGGTGAGCGTCTCCGCAACTTGCGTCAAGGCGTTCTGCAACGCCGGACAGCTCCTCCTGATGAAGAAATGTTTGATGCCGACAAAGGTCGACGGCAAGTTGGGCGTGGACGCCAAGCGTTGGTACTTGGCTATCCAGTCCGTGCTTGGCAGGTAGTTCTGATAGCTCGAGCGGCTCCACTTGGAACCTCTTATGCCATGCTGCCTTGAGATCAGACCAACTGACCTGCGTATGCAGCTCAGAGACTTCGACGGTGCGCGTGGACAACATGTTGTCCAGCCAAGCCTGGCGTGCGCCCCCATGATCGGGAGTATAAGTATGCGTCCCGGTTCGCGTCGCTGACTTTGTGGATGTCCAGCTTCAACTCAAACTGGCGCCACCATGGGATTGGGTCCGTCTTCGCTGCATCGCAGAAGATTGGTATGCCGCCAAACTTCGGAATGCTCTCTCGAGTAGTCGCGGTCGGACTGGCTGCGGCGACACAAATCTGCTGGTCAATCCGCTGATTTGTCGCTAGAGCGCCGTCCTTGAGAGTCCCGACGTCGATTTCCAAGACCTTGACGCGGTCCGTCAAGTTGGAGGGTCCGGCGGGGGTGGTTGTTGTAGGCTGCTGTTCCAGCCGGCGTACCCGGTCAAGCACTTCGTTGATAAGTCGAGCCTGCTTCCGGACCAGGGTGTCCACGCAGAGGATGTCCTCTTGCTGTGCTGCACAGGTGACGACCAAGTCGCTCACATGTTCGATTGTGGTTGCAAGGCCACGCACAGCAGGCGGGGAATCCTCCTCTTCAGCAGCCACTGCCCATTCGCCGGCGATCACCTCGATGTCCACCTCGGATTCGAGGATTTTGTCTCGGCGTAGTCGACGGCGTTCGTCTGCGGCCTTCCTTGCTGCCTCAGTGTCCTCCTGTCGCTGTTGTTCAGTCAGGCGACGCTGTTCCTCTGCTTCCTCATCTTTCTTCTTACGCGCGGATGTTGTCGTAGCTGCCCGTTGCTTGAACTCTGCTACCATGTCCAGCATGCAGGTCTCATAGGCCTCGGCAGTCTCTCCCGTCTGCTGATCCATGCCACTTGTCTTTGAGCGGGTGAGCACCATGCACTAACGTGACCTGCTGCTGCGGCAACTGGTTGTTGACGTGGCACTGCTGACGTGGCCTGCTGACGTGGCAACTTACCAATGCCGCCGCAGGGGGTACCCGGAGATAGAGAAGACCAGAGGGGGCAACAACATAGGTGGGGAGGGGTGGGTTGATCGCCCAGATAAGGAGCCACTAATCAAAAAAGAAAAGTTTAAACTTTGCAAAAAAAAATTCGAGAGAAAAGAAAATACTCGTTTGCAAGTTCAGTAGGCCTCTCAATTCCCCCTGAAGTGCGAAATTACCAATGAGGAAAAAATTTCGAACTTTCAAACCGCAAATGATTATCCGATAAACGAATTCCGAAAATAAAATACAAAAAAATATTCGGAACTACTCATATCAGAGTACGCGCAGTTTGGAAAATGATAACTGCAAGAGGGATTTCCCGTACCGTTTTCAAATCTCGAAAAACGTTCGGAAATTTAAAAAAAAAATACCGGATTTCCAAATAACGAGAAATTGCAAAAGGAAATCGATTTTTTTTGAAAAAAATATTCTAGATTTCCAACAACGAAATTTCGAATTTTCAGAAACGCGAAAGCAGAAATTTCAGGTGTTGCACTATTGCGATTTTCCACAACAGAAATAGCGGGAAAAACAAAATCCAAGAAAAGAAGAAAATTTCGATTTTCGGCAGTTAGGTCAAAATTGCGATTTTGGGGGCTAATTAGTGTGCTCTAATCAATCAATCAATCGATCAAGACTAATCAACTAATTAGTTCCCGCACACGTGTCAGATCAGGCTGTCCTGATTCACGTGCGGTGTTCCGATACCAACTGTTACATGCCCAGTTGGGCAATGTATGTAAAGCCAAGGATCTGCAATGTGATAAAGAGGACTGAATGGACAATGCGATGTCAGTGGAATCTCAACAAGCAACGTACATCCTGATACCTACAAAATGGCACTTTGTAGCACAGTGGAAGACTTAGATATAAGCCCTGACCTGACCGGGACTGACCTCTCTCACGTAGTACAAGACAGCGCAGCGGAATGCTACAAGACCAATGACTAGCCCAATCAATGTCGCAATGCAGACCAAACATGCATCATCCTCATCACAAGGTGTGAAGGGGCCTGGCGCTACACACAGGAAGAATGCGCCAGGTCCAGACCATACACAGACGAAGAGGAGGGGATCAGACGAAGAAGAGGGGGAAGATGGGAATGTCGTCAACACCAAGTCTTCGGTACAGGTCCCAGATAATCCCTTGTCAAATATCTGGAGCCCAATGTCGAGTCTGGATCAAAATGTCACCAATCCCGCTCTCTCTCGTAGTCTGCTGATGCAGTGAAGTCAGGTAGCGAGAGGGTGAGAGGGAGATGGTGGACTGAGAAGAGGAAGAAGAAGAAGTCTCTCTCTCTCTCTCT